GCTGCTGCTGCAAAATAGTTGGTTGCTTTCAGTGTTACATTCCAGGCAGGATATTCAGATGTTCACACGAGAGAGAAAAGTTGAGCCCAAGATGACACATTGGTCGGCATTCAACTGTTTGCATTTCTTAGTGCAGAAAGTATTGATCTAATGTGTAGAGATGTCTCCTCTTCTTATTAATTCAAGAGGGTTCTGGAAGCTTCTCTACATGAAAGAAACAAGCAGAAGGTTCATGATGTTTAGGTTGTTACTTCAGAGAAGCTGAGTACAGCTAGCTTAAACTGGTTCTGTTATCTTTTCTGTCAAGGTCATGCTGCCTATAATAAGAGGCCAGAAGGAGCCTGGCTTTCATTTTTTCTTTCTATCTCTCTTCTGGTGTGGTGTTCTGTACATAGTGACTGCTCCCCACATCAAATGGGGGGCATCTTTTGCGTGGTCACAAGCAGCCCCCCAGATCCCAATGCGGCTCCCGGTAGTACGGACTGGCTTCGCCCTTCCCAGGCTGGATACCTGGAGGTCTCCGCCTACCTCAGCCAATCGCCCAATCCCGCCTAGGGAGGCATTGCCAGGGGATCGGTCAGGTAGAGGGAGGGACCGCCCTAAGGTTTAGACTTATTATAAGTTATTGCAAGTTTAAGTTAAGTCTGCTGCAACTGCATTTCTTATGGAGTGTGCCAATCCTGCATTTATTGGATTTGTGACCATTATGCTCATTTGCCTTTGGTAGCAGTAAAGCTCTGCTGGATGAATTAATTGCCTCTGGTCTATTTTGGGGGGATCCTGCAACGTGTTTAAGTTTTTACTCTGCTCTGCTAACTATATGTCGGACTTCTGCTCTGGATCCATATTGAGTAGGATTTCATGACATCAACATCATGCCCTTTCAGTCATTCTCTCTGTGCAAGCATTCCAGCTTTCCAGATGGAACATCCTCTCACACATACACATGTGCTTTGTTTTTTTTTGGGGGGGGAGAGTGTTCTCCTGACACACCCCAGGTCAATTTGGTGAGGGCACATGTGGTGCATGGTGGAAGAACAGAAATCCTTACATAGGTCTTCCATTGGTGGGGTGAATCCCGTCCACTAAATTTACTTATCCCCTTAAGACATAAGGGAAGGAAGCAAAGAATTAAAAGCCACACACTTGAGGTGTAGGGCAAGTGGGCATGGCTTGGTCAAAATGGTCTCATGGGGCAAATTAGGTTTGAGAGGCAAAATGGCAGGGTTGGAGTCAGATGCAGGTCAGCACAAAAGATGCAGAGCTCCGCAGAGCTTCATTCAAGGAAACGGCATACAACTCAGCAACACTTCCCAGCAGGTCTTGCCCTGTTGCCAGGACTGAACGTTCCTGCCTTCCATTCCTTCTAAGGCTCCTCCTCTCCTGGCTGTTTCCCAAGCAGTCTCAAACTGTGTCTCCCCACTTCTGGCCTCTGTTCTGCTCTCCTCGTTATTCTGTTCTTGGAGACTGGGGGGAGGGGAGCTTGTCACAGCAGGAGAGAGAGACCCCCCAGGATTTTTCAGCAGCCTCTTGACACCCCTCCTTTGCTTCAGCCTTGGAGTCTGAACTGCTCCCTGTCACAGGTTCCTCCTGCCCACTAAACCCTGTTGTCTCTTCAGTATCCAGTACCTCCTCCCAATCTTCTCCCTCTGACCTCTCATTGGTGTCCCACCACCAATCCCCGGGCTCTGAGCCTTCCTCCTCTGGGATTTCCTTAGGGGTTCCCCGGCTGGTACCTCCCACCACTCCTCGTTCTCCAGCCAGTCCTTGACAGTTAATTTGGCCCATGGGGGTGTCCCTAACTGCTTCTGGGGGTGTTCTATACTGCTCTTACATTTTACGTAGCAATTGTGTGTGGAATCACATTACAATGTAGGAAGTACAGTATGTTATATAAAGGGAACAGAAAATAGGGTTGGGGGAGAAGGTGTTTCATCCCTTTGACATGGTAATTAATCTCTTTCTGTTTGTGTCACAAACACTAAATATTGGATATCTGCATTGATTACCTTGTTGAAATATTTCTGATATGAAACACTAATTTCTGTGCAAAAACCAAATGAAAATGAAATTTTGGGAAGCTCTAATAAAAATCTAATTGAATTATGCTCATATTGAAGCAGTATGTTCATTTTAGTGTGCTCCTGTTAATGAATCTCCCACTGTTCATTTTGTCATTATCATCTTTCACTCTCAGAGTTCGGTCTTGTCTTGTCATTAATTTGCCACTGAGCTTCCCTTTTTGCAACCCTGGCTGTGCATGTAATTTGTACTGGGTGAAAATATGTATTTCAAAAAGGCCCAAATTCTATCTGTATCTTACCCTGAACTAAGCCACAAATTAAATTGGGTGAAAGGCACAAGCCCTATTCAGATGTTCACCTTCAAACATTCTCGAAACATGTACAAAGAAGGCTGGATTCGTTCATGTGAGCCCTACCCTTGTGGCAGATCACAAAAATGAATAAAACAAGATATACACCTCTAACAGCCCAGCTTCTCCTTCAGTCTGCTCTTGCCAGGACAGCTCTTCTTTAGAGGGTAGTATGCAGTGTTTCCTTGATCTTCAGCCTCAGATCTCAGGTGTCAAATTACCGATTGTTCATTTGTTGTGGTTCTGTAAGCTCCAGAGACAAATCATGACTTGGTCTGACTTGGTCTTAGATGGCTGAAAAAGTACATTCTCTGTTATTTTGAGAGGATGGAGAGTGTTTATTTAAAAATGCAAATGTGTTTGAAAAGGTTAATACTGTAGTTGCCTAAGTAGTCTATAAAACAGTCAGCTAAATCTAGCAACTTTCAAAATGTAATGGTAGAGGAAACGAGTTCCCTTTGTCTTTTTATCTAGCCTGCCTGCTGCCTAGAGACAATCAAAAGGGTCTGGTGATGATTATATTGTCTCACAGATCAAGTGATGAATACCTACAGTAGAACTGATGAAATGGCTTAGGGATAGCACACACAGAGGGGACTCCCAGAATACTTTCTGGTGCTAGCAACAGTCCTCTATTCATGCAGAGGGCAAAACAGGGGCAAAAAACACGATTATGTTTTCTGCAGTATCATGAGAAGAAACATCAGGGAGTGAGCTCTATACACTATTTTAATCCTTGCTGGAAGTACCCATTCAGCCTGCCTGATGTGCTTCCTTTCGCATGCACACTCTAGCAAAGCAGTTTGTCCTTGGACACCCGCAAAGTCATGATTAACTACTGCAGGTTTTGCTTACATGATGCGCATATTTCTCAGGCATCAAATGTGGCTTTATTTTTCCTAAGTGAACAGAACTGGATCTCCACACCCAAAGGATGCTTTAATTAGCTGACTATTCAGAGTAGCGGACTATTGAGAGCAACACATGGATTAATGGTTTGTTTTTATTTGGATGGCTAAACCACCACCACCACCCCAATCCCAGAGCAGAAATTTAAATCAAGTTCTCTATGGTTGATTAACCCTCCGTCAGTAACCAACACCCGAGTCACTAATAAACAGCCAAGCAAGGAAAGCTCACAATACTGAGAAATTAGTCAAGCTCATAATTTGGGAAAGCTGTAGAGAAAGAAGGAGGGCACTCCCTAGTTTTTCGTATTTATTATTCATATGATGGCTTTTTGAGCCTACCTCATCCAAGATGGCCGACCGTATTATTAGGAAACCACAGTGTAATCTAAAATAACTAAAATGGGCAAAAGCAGAAAGCTTAACAACAAATCACAAGGTTAGTTATATCTGTAAAAACCAGACTGGAATGGATCCAAATGATTAACTTCCTCCTGTACTTTCTGGAGTTGAGAGGTCACCATTTCTTCTGTCACCTCACCCAAGAATGGTGGATTTCAACTGGGTAATAGCTGGCACAGATCAGTGGCTGGTTTCTTAAACAGCGAACTCTCCAGTGCCTCTTTCAACATAGCATGGTTCACATCTTCCTTTAAGGAGGCATTAAACATCCCAGAAATACAGCTTTTCAAAGCCACCATCTGTAAGTCAAGAGAAGACATGGTAAGCCTCCAGCCTTCAAGTAGATTGCCAACATCATCAGGCTGCGTGAGCTGAAATGTACCCATAAGAATATAACATGACACTATTCCCTCAGTTTCTGGCTGTGTTAAAACCATGGCATCCCACATTGGTGCTAATTGCTAACAACCTGTCTATATGTGCAGGATAGTTTAACCTGGCACATACATGAGAAAAATGAGCTGAAATGAGGGGGAAGGGGAGGGAGAGAGACAGAGAGTCTGGTGTCCTGAACTAGCATGGCATTTTCTGTGCAGACTTCTAACTGAATATGGAATTACACACACAAATAGGGCTATACTCCCCAGCCCATCAGCTGTTTGGGAGCAAGAAGGTGGATTTAGTACCCCTTCAGTTTATTCATGTAAACTGATGCAGAAATAATGGAAGTGACCAACAGTGAGTCCCATGGACTGCAAGAAGATCAAACCTCTCCATTCTTAAGGAAATCAGCCCTGAGTGCTCACTGGAAGGACAGATCCTGAAGCTGAGGCTCCAATACTTTGGCCACCTCATGAGAAGAGAAGACTCCCTGGAAAAGACCCGAATGTTGGGAAAGATGGAGGGCAAAAGGAGAAGGGGACGACAGAGGACGAGATGGTTGGATAATGTTCTCGAAGCTACCAGCATGAGTTTGACCAAACTGCGGGAGGCAGTGGAAGACAGGAGTGCATGGCGTGCTCTGGTCCATGAGGTCACAAAGAGTCGGACACGACTAAACAACTAAACAACAACTGCTTGCTGCCCTTTCTAGAGCAAGGAGAGTGGATCCATATTCTGGTTTCCTTCAGATTAGATTATGCCTCTGAATATATTCCAGACCCTACAGCTAGAGTGGCAAAATGTGGTTGCCCGGGTGGTAGTGAAGAATTAATTTTGCATTAGTTGCAGAGACTACCAGTAGACTTCTGAATCCAATTCGAAGTGCTGGTCTGAAGCTTTAAAGCCTTACATGGTTTTCATCCATATAATCCAGCCATCCCCAAACTCGGCCCTCCAGCTGTTTTGAGACTACAACTCCCATCATCCCCAAGCACTGGTCCTGTTCGCTAGGGATGATGGGAGTTGTAATCCTAAAACAGCTGGAGGGCTGAGTTTGGGGATGCCTGATATAAGCCCATATTCTAAAATCAACTTCAGGTGAACTTCTTGAGTAACCACAGTTACAATCAGGCTGAGCATGCACAAGAGACATGAGCTTATCAGTGGTGGCCCCCCAAACCTCACAACTATTTTCCAATGCATTTTTGCTTTGCCTCTTCAATTCTGGAGTTTAGGTAGGCTTTGAAGATTTTTCGGCAGGCTTTAACTGATGGTGTTAATACGCTGTATTTCAGTTGTGTCCCCCCCCACCCCATAATTGTTAAAAGCCACCCACAGAATTTTGTGTTATGGGGTGGCATGCCAATGTCTTAAATTATCTCCAGAACATCTAATTTGCTGTGGTCATTTCTACCTTAATGTTTCATTCCTTTGTACGTCACTTTGTGTGAGGACACAGCTCAAAGAGTGGCTTTAAAATAACTAGAAAGAAAGAAAGAAAGAAAGAAAGAAAGAAAGAAAGAAAGGAAGAAAGGAAGGCAGGCCTGGTCTTTTATGGAGGCTTTTTGAAAAAGCTGGGATCTCCTTTCCAGGAGAAAAGTGGGCTAAAATGTAAGAAAAATACATCAGATAAACGAAAGCTGCTTTAAGTAAGTAAAAGTACTAATATCATAAAAAGAATAATTCAGCATGACGGATAAGGAAAGCTGTCAGAGTTATGGGAATGATAACTATAACAGTATTTCTTTCAGAAATAAGTGCTCCAAAGAGAGGAGAAAGAGCATTGATTTCTCCTTTATAACAGTGTATCTTATTTGCAAACTGTACAGCATAATGACACTAAAGTACTATAATGGTTTGAACGGTGCTGCTGCTGCATATAGCCATGATGAAAGGTGGACCGAGTGGAGTGTGACTCATTGAAATATGAATCTACCTATTTTTTTAGTGCAGTAAACAAGACGTTTTATGGCAAAATGGGCATTGTATCTAACTAGGAACCTATGCTGAGAACGGAATGCGTTCCTGGATGCATTCTCAAACATTTTAAGCCTCGCTGCATGTCAATTCCTTTGCATATTTAAATAGCCCTTGCAACAAGCAGGCAAACTAAATATAAATGTGATGCTAAAACATTGTTAAAACCATGTTGTGCTGATCAGTTGGAAGTAGACTGCACCAGCAGCTCATGAAAAGGACAATGAATACCTGCACTCTTAGATTACTAAGTAAGTACATAAGAAAGAAGAAGACTGTCATTTCAAACCACGCTGCAGATACTAAATTCACCAGATTTTATATCCCAGCAGAACAAGGATGTCTAATGTAACTTGTAAGGGGGGGGGCTGTATCAGGACCTTCAGGGGTTCCCAACGTGGCCTACAGTCATGTCACCAGGGAACATATTTCTGCCTCCATGATGTACCGTATTTTTCGCCCCATAGGACGCACCTAGTTTTTTGGGGGGGGGAAATAAAGAAAAAAAATTATTTCCCCCCCAGGCGCGGGGCTGGCATGGGGAAAGCCCGAGCTTCCCCCCGACCCCAGCCCCCAGAACAGGCTGCTGCCTGCAAGCCTTGCGAGCCCGGCGAGCAAGGCTTGCCGACATCTGCCCGAAGCACGGGGCGGGCTCCGCAGCTCGCCTCGTGCTTCGGGTTGCAGGCTGCTGCCCGCAAGCCTTGTGCGCCCGGTGGGACCTCCCGCCGGGCGCGCAAGGCTTGCGGATAGCTTCCTGAAGACTGGAGAGCGAGAGGGGTTGGTGCGCACCGACGCCTCTCGCTCTCCAGGCTTCAGCGAAAGCCTGCATTCGCCCCATAGTACGCACACACATTTCCCCTTCATTTTTGGAGGGGGAAAAGTGCGTCCTATAGGGTGAAAAATACGGTAGTTGTGATTCAAGGACCCGCCACCCACTTGGGGATAAGAAAGACACGTGGACACAGTATATTAGGTTAATGGGCTAAAAAAGGCCACAACTTTATTGATTACAGCATGTGAGAGGTATTGGCTTAGGCATTGGATAAAACAACAGAGCGTGACTCCACCCCCTCAGGGAGGGGTGAGTCTAACAAGGGTTAACCACCAGTGGGAGGAACCTGTTGATGCAAATACAACTGAAAGCTCCCCCTGATGTCACCAGGGGTCGTGCCATGGCCCTAGCCACCAGCAAGGGCGGCGGACAGGATCCATGACCGTCAGATTCCTTTATCAGAATACCTATACTGTGGAGGGGTAGGCGATGGCCACACCCTGCCCTCCAATACACAAACATATTCCAATGCCTAACTGTTACGAGGCGGCTGCTACGAGGTAGGCGAAAAACCAAGTGGCCGGTGCCAATTTGCCAGTTGGATAAAAATTCCTACCAGGCCCTTTGGACAACCAAGGCAACCAACCACAGGTCCATAGCAAGGTCAAGAACCAATCAGTGAACTAAAGGGAGGGTGGGTGGGTGATCTGAGGAAAACCAGCAGTGGAATGAAAGGGAAGTGCTGCCGGGGCCACGTTTGAGCGGCAAAACCCTGCCCCCAAGCCTCCACCTGGTTGGTTGGCTACCGGGGGGCGTGGCGCGGCAGCCAGGCCAACTGGGCAGGGGGCCGGAATGCCCCCTGCCAACGTGGAAAACGGCTCCTGCTCACAACTCCTCCCCTCTGTAAGGAGGAGAGGCTTTACGAAATGTACAGAGGAGGGCAACCCAGAGGATGGTCAAGGGTCTGTAAACCAACCTTATGAGGAACAGTTGAAGGAGCAGGGTATGGAAAAGAGGAGACTGAGAGGAGATATGAGAGCCACCTTCAAATATCTCAAGGGCTGTCACATGGAAGAGGGAACAAGCTTGTTTTCTCCTGCTCTGGAGGGCAGGACTTGAATTAGTGGGTTCAAGTTACAAGAAAGGAGATTCCAGCTAAACATAAGGACGAACTTTCTGACAGTGAGATCTGTTTGACAGTGGAACGGACTCCCTCAGGAAACTGTGGACTGTTCTTCCTTGGAGGTTTTTAATAATAATAATAATAATGATAATAATAATTTTTTTATTTATACCCCGCCCTTCCCGGTTCAGAAAACCAGGCTCAGGGTGGCTAACAACAAATTTAAAACACTTAATTGATGCAACAAAAAACAGCATAAAATACAGTATAAAATGTGAATAACAATAAATTCAGAATTCAAAAATCAATTTAGGGGGGAAATCCATTCAATAAACATTAGCTGATCACCAGGGCTAGCTGGCTAAGTTAGTCCTATTTGGGCCAGTGAGGAGACCAGGGGAGAATTAGCTGTGGGGTCCCAGAGCAGGTAATCTTCATAAAAAGGGGAGGGGGAGGGAAGAAAGGGGAATAAAAGATCAGGCTAAGTTCAAATTGAAAGCCAGGTGGAATAGCTCTGTCTTACAGGCCCTGTGGAAGGAAGTTAAATCCTACAGGGCCCTGGTCTCATGGGACATTCCACCAGGTCGGAGCCATCACTGAGAAGGCCCTGGCCCTGGTGGAGGATAATCTAACTTCCTTAGGGTCGGAGACCTCTAAACTATGATTATTCATGGACCTTAAGGTCCTCTGTGGGACATACCAGGAGAGGCTGTCCCGTAAATACGAGGGCCCTAAGCAGAGGTTGGATGGCCATCTGGCATGGATGCTTTAGTTGAGATTCCTGCATTGCAGGGGGTTCGACTAGATGGCCCTTGGGATCCCTTCCAAGTCTACAATTCTGTGATTAAATGAAAATCAGTTATCTTGGTCGAGCCTACTTTGGGTGGGCAGAAAGTCTTTTCCTACACTAAGTTTTAGTTTTATGTATGGATTTCTGCATCCCAGCAATAAGGTTAAACTTTGAGTGCAATTCACAGCCACAAAATCCCTAACTGATGGCTGTAGAAGCTGGTAAATATCAAGCTAGGAAGCCTTTAATCAAAGGAAACCCAATACACCAGGTTGTTTCTTCCTCCCACTGCCTTCTGCAGCTGGCACATTAGCTTAAATAACTTATTCATCTAACACAGCACCTTAAACACCTGCTGGCAATCATTTCCCACATTATGGGCTAGAGAAGGAGACGTCTCAAACTGATGATGACATAAGAACTATCCACCAGCCTGCGTATCTGAATGCGAGAATTATATAACTTCCTCCCCTCACCCCACCTCACCCCCCAAAATAATATGCGGGCCAAATTGAAGGATTAGGTTTATAAATTATGCTGCCCAGGCTCTATCAGCAGGCTCAATGCAGCATCAATGGTTAGGTTAATTCAAAACAAATCATTAAATCTGTGCTAGCTTTTCATCGGATAGTTATTTTTATGCTCTTCCTTCCTTTCTGCCATCTGTCTGCATGTTTATTGATCTCCCCCATTGTTCCTTCCTCTTTTTTTGACACATTGACACATTATATCATCTTATCTTTTATTTTTAAAATCTTCTATTTTTATTTCAAAACACCCTGGTGAAACGCTACCATCCTAACATCTATGAGGAGGCAGAGCTTTCCACCAGTCTACCAGGTGTGGGGTGTATTTAGGGTAGCATGACCGATTCATCCGCACTGAGCACCCAGCGGGCTCCACAGGGCATCACACAGGGCACCGCTACAGAGGGTTGTTTTCTGGTTGATGTATATGCAGGTAGTATTGCCCTAACTATTATTGAAATTATAATAGTTGGTATGCCCCACGGAGGAGCTTAAGGTCCATAAATAGCAACACCCTAGAGGTCCCGGGCCCTAAGGAAGTTAGATTAGCCACAACCAGAGCCAGGGCCTTCTCTACACTGGCTCCGGCCTGGTGGAACGCTCTGTCTCTTGAGACCAGGGCCCTGCGGGATCTGATTTCTTTCCGCAGGGCCTGTAAGACAGAGTTGTTCCACCTGGCCTTTGGCTTAGAATCAGTTTGATTCCCTCCCCCTCTTTCTTTTTCCTTTCTCCTCCTGTGAAGAGGCTGCATCCTAATGTTTTAATGTTGCATTTTAATCTTGTTTTTTTAAATTGTATTTTAATCAACTTGTTTTTATTATTGGTTGTTAGCCGCCCTGAGCCCGGTCCTGGCTGGGGAGCGCGGGGTATAAAT